GTATCTATTAGTCATCGAGGGGAAAGGGAATCGTTCGAAACAAATTTACAAAACGGTATTTGAAGTATTCGAGCGTGGCGCATTACGTTCGATAAGCACGGATTAAGATGCGTTTATGGTATGTAAAAGGCACACAAATGATTTCAGGCTGTTGTCTGGGTGAGCAATGAATGTATTCCGAATTTTGACACCGTGTGTATTGCAACGTAGACGACCAAAGGAGGTTGATAATTCCGATAAAAGGGATTGCTGGTTCGTGAAAAGACGGCGTGGAGATGCTTCCTACATGATACATAGAATGGGTGCTTCTGCATCGTCAAGCATTACCAGTGTAGGTGGAGATTCGGTCCAAGCAGCTAGACTTTCATCCTCTGGTAATCCACCTGATCAACATGGCATTGCTATCAGGTATTTAAACATTTAACATCGGACCTCGTTATCTGATTCACTGCTTCGTTTCCCGTTTATCGGCCGGATCTGCCGACATTATGAGAGACACTCTGCTGTTAACGATGCGCACAGCTGCGTTTATATCTTTAGCTGCATTTTAACGAGCTCTTTGATCGCGGATCAACGATTACGGAACTGATAAAAGTCTATGTCTTGTGTCTATTTGCAGGGAGAAGAAGAAGAAAATGACGGGGTTCGCGACGTTACGGAAGAAATTCATTCGAAGACGTCGGTCTTCAAAGGCCTGCGACCATGGCAGGATAATCCGAGATTTGGTCTCAACATGGAGCCATTTAGAGGCAACGGCGCTTTTGGAGGAGTACGAGGCGTTGGCTGCATTAAAGGATCTCCATGTCCAAGCCGAATTAGCCAGACCGCCGGCCGCCACGTACAAACAGGATTTGTCGATGTTGTACGACTATAAACATTGTTCTGATGTGGATCTCGTCTACCGAGGAGCCTGCTTCCCCGTTCACAGAGCCCTGTTGTCAGCCCGTTGTTCCTACTTTAGGGATTTGCTGGCTGGATGTCCGGGTATATAATTTCTCTTTTCTCTTTACAATCGTTTAACAAGCACGAAAATGATAGATAGTGGAAAGTACAAGTTCATTTCCTTTTCTTTTTCCTTTTTTTTTTTTTT